TTTTTTTTTTTTTTTTTTTCCTTTAAATATTTTCAGCTGTCAGAGCAGAACTGAGTAGAAGATAAAGATGAGACGCGGACCAGTTTGAATTAAAGCGAAGAGAGAACGAACGAAGAATTCTACTGCTGTGTAGATCAACCGAAACGATCATCGACAACCGTACACGATTTTTTTTTTTTACTACATATTTGCGAAAATGGAATGCAGTTATACCCCATGTATATCAAACATGTTTGTGTGTAAGTACGTTATATCTAATCTAATGTTCTAAGTGAACCGTACCCTTTTGGTTGCTTACTAAACGATTGGTAAGCAACGCGAACTTTGGATAAAAATTGATTCTGATTCTACCAATTCGATGCACAACACACATCACGGATCACCTAAGTTTTGCATCAGTATCAGTCTTCGGTGGTATCGTACAATTTTCTCTTCAATCAATGACGATTGCCGTGCTCCATATCTCGACAAGTATTATTCATAGTTTAAATCGAGCAACTTAACGTGACGTAACGTAAAATCTGATCCCACGCACAATGGAAAACGCTTGCGTTTCTATGTAAATATCACAGAATTTAATCTAGTGGAAGATACGTAAAAAGAAAATTTGTAAAAGAGATTCCTTTAGTCTTAGATGCATTTAAATTGAGACTAATGAAAGTTACGTGCATTGAGCTATTTCGCGATCGTGATGCAACTTTAATATTTTATAATTTTCCACCGTTTTCTTCCAATCCTTTTTTTTCTTTTTTCTTTTTTTTTTTTTAAATTAAAATGCACGTCACACTTGTAATTTAAATCGAATCTTGGATTTTTTCGTACATACCACCGCTACTTCCATGTACAGATTTCATTAACAACGCACAGCTCGATACATTCCAAGTCAAAATATTTCGGTACCGGACAACAGGTAGAACAGAATATTAAAAAGTGATCATCGACTGCCACATAACTTTCAAACAGGCGAACCTTTCGATCGATTCGAGGTGTTCGTTTCGCGACTTCTTTAAATACACTCATTGATCTGATCGTCAAACGATTACATCGATTTTATATTTATGCATCATTGATCGCTCCAAAAAAAAAAAAAAAAGAAAAAAAAAAGAAAAAGAAATTCAAAATTCGATGCATGACAGGGCGATCATGTTTGCTACCGATATTGTATACTACTCTCCGTTCTTATATTTTTTTATCGTCTCTCGTACGATTCTCACGGACAATGAGAAGAATTAACGTTGCAGTTCATATATATTCTATGTATCTATAATATAGCCGTATATACGCTGATTTGCACCAGCTTATTGGCATTTATTGCATTCAGACAGAACAAAGTTTGGAGAGCGCAAGTGAGCGAAAATATGAAATAGAACGAGAGACAAAGAGAGAGAGAGAGAGAGAGAGAGAGAGAGAGAGAGGGAGTGAATGAGCGAGAATCAGAGGAAGAATGAAGCAAGAGAGAAGTGAGGAGAAAAAGAAAAAAGGTTAATTATATCCCATATCTCACGGTATCTGTGTACTTTTAAATGCTCTGTAATATCATTAATGTCATTCGATCCACGACACGATAGAAAAACGAATAGAAACGATTTTACGTATCTAAATTCGAATGACGTGTGATATTGAAGATTCATCGCATTTAATATTGCGATCCTACGTTTTTTACCTCTTTCTTTCTTTTTCATCGTTTCATAAGACGGATTCATGAACTGACTGATTACTAAATTAACGCACTAATTAAGAACGCAACGATAACGTTAAGTATTATCGAGCTAAATTTTAAAATCTTAATTTCTAGTCGTGTAAGGGAAACAAATAACGCGAACAAAAGAATACATCGATACACTATCGATATTCCGTGATATGAGCTTGTTTCTCAATATGATACGTATCTTTCGGAAATGTAAATGATTGCGCGTCGTTTCTCACGTTCTCGCACAAATATTCTCTGTGAACGTGATTCGTCATCGATTTCGTCAGACCATATTTTTCCGCCCCCTTCAGATTACGTACATTTTCATCAGGAAAAAGCTGTTGTAAACAAACGATTAACTCCAGGCTGGTCCCTCGATCTCCAGACATTATTGTTCCATTTGCATTTATCGTGTAACGTTCTACAAGATGGTGTTTAACGTTCCGCAAATTTCGAGAAAAACGATCAATCTTGTAATAGTACATACTAACACGGCGCTAAGCGACAGGCCGACTGAACTGAATTAAATGATACTCTTATTGTAACGATAAGTACATAAGTACATGTTTTGGCAAAAGTATTTATTACTTGCCGTTTTATGGATTTTACATTGAAGTAACGTATTCCGCTCTGTTTATCGCATTCCATCATTGGGATTGTACGATTTTTCAAGATTTCTACGCTTATC